GTCGACTGGGCGAGCGATCGGTCATCGCTGCTCTTGTTTTTCGGTACGGTCTTTTAATTACGATTGCTTTTCTACGATCATTGTAATCATCAGCGTTTTATCAGTTCCCACAACTGGGCAGCCCATAGACGATCAATATTATTGTGCAAATTGGATTGCACAATACTTTGACGGTCGCCCACAAACGCTTCAATGTCGTCTACACACGATCAATTTTATTGTACAACCCGGGATATTGGAGTAATCTTATCTACCGTTCTGGCCAAAAGTGGGTTATTAGATTTATGTTATTAATATGTGATTTTTTTTTTCAAATTATTGGCACACGTTATTGAACACGAGGGAACTATATATGTATAAATAAAACACAATACGACTCAGGCATGACTAGAAACGTGGACACAACAGGAACGCTGTGGATGCCAGTCTGCCAAAAAAAAATTTTATTTTTTTTTTTATTGGGGGTTTTTTGGGGGGAAAAAGGGGTTTTTCCTTGGGGGGGAAAAAAAAAAAAAATTTTTTTTTTTGGGAAAAAAAAAAAAACCCCCCCCCGGGGGGTTTTAAAAAAAAAACCCCTTTTAAAAATGGGGGGGGGGTTTTAAAAAAAATTAAAAATAAAAAATTAAGTTAGAAAAATAAAAATATAAAGTGTATTAACAGATATATAAATTATTAAATGTCTACAGAAAAGACTAATGTCAAACGTGTTTTTACAAAACCCCGAATCAAAACCCCGTTGAATTTATGAACAACCAAATTTTGCATACGGACGGTAACCACAGGGTAGCGTTTCGAGGTGAAGATCTTCGGAGATTTTATAGCGGAAGAGTTAGTAGAAATTTATAAAATTAAAATATAAATTAAATACAATTAAATTCTGTTATTCAGAGTGAGGATAAAGGTTCGATCTTCGAGCAATTAAAATTAAAATGCTATAGTGATGACTCAATATATAGTTTATTCGCTTAAGTAGACAATTTAAATGCCAAAACAATTTATTAATCGATTTCAAATATGCGAAATATTTTACCACTGCTGAAAAGTTTATGCGCTAAACGTACCAGTGTTCAAATAAATTTAAAATAAGTTAACTTAAATAGATTCGACCGTACCGGTGTTCAAATTAATTTAAAACAGTTAAATTGTTTTATTTCAATGTGGACTTCCGTAAACTACAGACAGCGTTAAATATTTTTTTATTATAAATTGCATTTTTATATATACACAGTGTTTAAGAGCAGAATATGAATTATTACGATACAAACTAGCCATAAATATTTCTTTATCAGATATTGACTCTGTACAAGAAGATGTATGGCCCAATCGATTTTACTTAGGCGTAATAAAATTTAATTACTGTAAGCCGCAGTCTGTGTACAGTGTCAGCTAATATGTTATTTATTGGATCCAGGGTCTATGAAGCTACTGTTCACGTATTTTAACGCAATAATAATAAATAATAAGATAAATTTATCACGATAAAAAATATCAAAGTATAATCTGGTTTACACAGTAGTACAAAAATAAAACATTTTAATTAAAAAAACAAACTATCAAAAAAAATCGACGATGAGGGTAGCGGGGGCGTGTGCAAGAGTTGTATCAAAAAGAAAATCACATGGGTGCTCAATTGGTTAGAGCAACAGCACAGAACGCTGTGGATGCTGTTTCAAGTCCTGCCCGAGTCGTAATTTTTTTTTTCAATTTATAACACGATTTTTATCATTTAAGTAACAAAAGATTTAATTAAATTTTTTTAAGTTGAAACTTGAACGATTGTTTTAACAATGATTATTATATGTTATAGTTAAACGATTTGTGCACATTTAAATAAAATTTCATTAATTTTTAAATGTTTAAAACGTGAACGATCGTGGGAAAAATTTTCAAATAAGTTTAACTAATAATGATCGCTTCTAAAAGTGTTTTATTTAAATGATCTGTTTAAACTATTTAAGTCGTGATTCAAGTTTCGGCATTTGATTGCAATGGAAACGTTTTTTTCTAAAAGTTTAGTTAAAAAATTATTTGCATATTAATTTATGGTCTACCTTATCATTTATACTTATATAATTTCCCTATTTTTATTTCATTACGGATAGTAATGAACAAATCTGTGGAGACACAGAGCGATAATTATTATTAATAAGCATTATTTTATACTATTATTAAGACGGATTAAATATCAAATTGTAGTAGGTATTGGACATTATCATTGGCACTATAATTAATTACAATGGATTAATTGTAATTATATATGTCCTATTTTCAGCCTCACCTAGGGCTAGGGCTAACTCTATTAACGTTTTTAGATTTTCAAATGTCCAAAGTCAAAACAGGTCGACATCGCAATTTGGTCAGAGACCTATGGTTCTTGTCACTTGTCTGTTCAGTCGACTGTCATAAAATAGCATTAATATTTACACGTTATGACATATATATTAATTAAAATACAATTGACTTGATGCACTGTCGATTTATTAGTGTATTTTGGCTTTGGGTATTCGGAAATTTACAGACTTATACCAAAACGTGAATAAACTTCAAACACACTTATGCACCTGTGGGCGGTAGTTCGTGGTAATCTCGATATTACTGCTATTTAATATAGATTCAATTTCTTTTTGGACTGGAACCGATGGGATCAACACCAGGACCCGTTGATTAGCCACAGCTACTATTAGACCAAGGAGTGCCTAAAAACAAGGGCATTTCATATTAAGCCAAAGTCTGTTTATTTATAAATACGATAAAATACAAGAATTGCAAGTTAACAAAACATCTTTTTATGAAGCATTCAAAGTTAATCTGTCTAAAGTCAATTTGAATTTGAACTGCAAAATCATTTGCGGGAAAAATTGCTCGCTCATTTTTATCAGGCGTTATTAAACAGCCAGCTAAGATGAAGAATATTGTGAGCACACCCTAGTTAAATAGATAGCATTTTATAACACCTAGGAGTTTCAATTTCACGTCCCACTCAACTAAGAGCTGATGTTTGGTGAGGAACCAGGTACAACTTTATTACTCTTTCTTTGATCTAAAGTATCATTTTCAAGTTATACATTGATTCATGACGTCACAGTTATAGTATATGTAAATATATCATTAATCTATTTTTAAATTATAAAGTTAAAGGGTTTAAAAATGCTTTATTTATGATGATGATGACAGACAGTCAGACAGATTTGTCCCTATTGTGAGTTTTTTTTTACAATTATTGTAATTGGCTTAAGTAGGCCGTTTTAGTTGTACTAAATAAATAAATAAATAAAAGCTGAAGAGTTTGTTTGAACGCGCTAATTTTTTTTTATTGCGGGTTCGATCTGAAAAATTATTTGTGTTTGTTAGAGCATTTATCGAGAAAGGCTTATAGGCTATAGAACATGGTCCTGTAACTAATAGGAGCGAAAATACAGCGGGAAATGTAAACAAAACGTGGGAAATTTTTCATCTCTGTGGGTTTCCGATGTGTAATAATTATGAAAGAATAATTCTTAAATGATCTAAAAAACTGTCCGCGACATGGATGCCCTTAATGAATATTTTTAGCGGACTAAGTCGCTGCCACAGCTAGTCAAGTTTTTTTTTCTGAAACAGGTCGGACTAAATCTGGAAATGTATTAAATGGGTGGGAGGAATTCGCAAATCCATCTGGATCGTCCACAGAAGAAAAAGCCGTGAAGTTTAATTGCGTTTCGGTTTCATTCCGTGGATTTCCGAATATCCAAAGCCAAAATAGGTCGACAGCGCATCGTGTTTAGATGTTATATGGCTGGGGTATTTCACATACCATCAAGTAAGCCTCACGCGTGTCTGTCCTACTCTATTATAAAAAATGTAATTCTTATGTCAGATCAAATAAAATAATGTTCTAATGAAATAAACTTCGCGGAAAAAGTAAATAAAATCCTGCAATTTATCACCGTAATAGCATCTGCAATGTCGCAGCATGTCGTTAAGCTGTTTAGAGTTAAAGCATGTCATTGGGACATTCTTGCTGGTACCCAATTCTGCTTATTCTCGAGCCAGTAACTCCTTCTGCTGGTTAGACTATCGAGCCGCCATATTAAACAGTTTAGTATTCTACTATGTCAATTCATTTAGAAAGGCCCCTAGTGAAGGCAGTAGGTAGAGATTTCATTCATATTGATTTAAATAAAACACTTTAACGGTTTAAAACGCGATGTATATATAAGTTAAAACTTATTTCATATTAATATTAAATAAAATTATTTTAACTACAGCCCGACGTTTCGGATGCTTTGCAGCAGCCCTGGTCACAGAAAGACTAAAGATGAAGGGTGCCTCTGACGTCAAAGCAAAACCTGCTACTCTAACGCCATTTGTTCCGTAGTTAGTACTTTCACAAAAGTTTGGCGAAATAACTAATATATATCGCGTTTTGAACCTGTGTTTTATTTAAATATGTTTTACACGTATACAATACAGACATATTTGTTTATTTATACTATTTACTATACATATTAGCACTTAGGATTATTACACATTACAAAAAAAAAAAATCGTTAGTAAATATGAAACCGATTAAATATTCTTATTTCATTCAAATGTCAACTTAACTAAAGTAGATAGAAGAAAAGGGGTTCCAATGTACCAATATAATTTACAATTTCTCCTTTGTAAAATAGTAAAATATCTTAATTTCTCAATAGTCTACAATAAACCAAACATACAAATCTGTGCCTACATTAAAAATACCTACAACCAAACTAGGGGTAGTTACATATTAACATATTGTAAATTTGTTTATCTCATATACACACATTCAGAAAAACCATTTCCAGTTTATTGAAAGGATATTTTATTTAACTACCGACATTCGATATAGATAGGGCGTTCAGGTTACTGGACTACCAAAGATGCAAGCGACGGGTCATCGCATAGCAGAATTGGGTCCCCGCTAGGCGGTCAGTCGGCTTAACATGTTTTTGTTACGTCCGATTAACCCACATTGTATTTGTGGTAGTGACGTCACGTTACGTCCTCGATTTTTCTATCAGCGAGGGGTCGGGTCCGATCGAGTCCCGCCGGTGAGCGAAATGCCCTGCGCATGCGCTAGAATTGCGCCAATTTCGCACGCAGCGGCCTCTACCGCTACTTGCAGTCCACCTAGATCCCGTCGGGGGGATGTTGCGTTTAGCGGCGTTGCACCTCACGAGATATGTCAAATTTAAAATGATCCAGCTCGAAAATGCGTTGCGCGGCTGATCGTACGTCATAGCGAGTTATGAGTGTCGTTCGTAGTTATAGTGTCGGGTTAGGATGTAGGGACGTTCTAGGGAATTAAAGTATATTTTAGGTGTTCAAGTGAAGTTAGAAGTGCGGAGGGCCCGACGCGGTTTCGTTATTGTGGAGCCTGTGTGACCTTGACATCAATTTCCCGCGCTACAGCGAAACCTTGCTTTCAGCCTCTCTAGAAATTCAAGCGTTGAAACTGTTATATTAATTGGAAATATTTCAACGATCTATAACAATCTGTCAAGTTATGATGTATCTGTTGAGGCTCTAGTTTCGTAGAAGGCTTGCTGACGTAAATTCTGCGTTATGTATCTTTCGTTCTAAGACGCGGCCAAAATGAAGAGATTTAAAGGTGAGTTATGTTATTTTAATTAAATTTATACATCGTATTTTAAGAATGTTGGATATTCATTAATTGTTTTTTTATGCGTAAGCGTTAGTAACTACGTTGAGTAATTAAAAAATTGCGTAATTTAAAATATGTCGTGTCAGTGATGTACTTATGCAGTTAAGTTATATTTTTTTGTTGTTTGACAGTAAGTAAATAATAAAGATGGTTAATCATTAAATTATGTTCTTTGTGACTCAGTATTGGCAGTGTGTGGTAGGTATTTAAACTACAAAATTTATCGCGTTTGATCATCGTCATGATCATCAGCATGATCACATCAACATCATTATCATCATGTACTAGAAGAGCATGCGCATACGCGTGGTATTGTATATTTTTGTATTTATACTAAAAATAGTTCATAATTGTACTTTTCGCGTCCGTTTTGTTCGCTAAGCCTGAGCCTAAGCTGACAATATAAGCGGCTTAAAAAATCCTTCGCAATTTATCCGCCTATATATATTATATATATAGATATTTATATTTATATATGGGGGTATGCGTCCGTCTGTATCCGGATGCTGAAAAATGGTAATCTATTTTCACAAATTATTTTTATTTACAAGTAATTGATAAGGTTTTATACCCTCTCCCATCGACTATTATGTTTTTATTACTTCTGCTCAACGCGTTTTTAATTACTTTACGAAAACAAAACTAATGTGGTGGTTGGTGCATTATAAAGCGCATATCAGATTACAAGTCAATATGAGTACTGTTTCGAAATTGGAACTACAGTGCTATGTAACGCCGTTATACAGGTATAACGCTGCAAGTGATTAACACGTTTAGTTTCGCTACCAGGTTAATTTACTGATATCTACAACATTTAACTAGCTCTGTGGTAATATTAAGTTGGAATAGTTAACTCGATATTAAGCACTGAAGTGAAACGACCATCATACAAGTTACAAAAACGCTTTTGAACAGATAACAAGCATTTCTATTATATTAATAAGCCTATATTTATATAATTTGAATGATACGTCTAAAAAAATTTGACCACGTCTCTTGATAAATGGTGTAGAGAAATCGAATCCCGAAAAAAATAGAATCTTCCAATCGAGCTGGCACAGAAGTTCGGGCAACTATTTGCCTGTAAATATCTGCCAGCGAAACGGACACAAAAATGTGTTAGCTCCATACCCCCACAGGGGGTTACAGATTGCAAAGTGAAGACATTGAATTATGACATCCTTTCTTTTAAAATCTCCATTGTTGTCTTAGTACGAAGTATCTTAAAAATAATCTTACTATTCACTTCAGGTTCTTTATCGTAAGTATCAAGGTAGGCTTGGCATATAAATATAGGATATATACAATCATTCGCCATTTCTCTAACCACTCCAATTTCCTAAACATACTATGTTAAAAATATCTTATTAAATTTACTGATGAAAAAGAGGAGACAAAAAAAAGAAACGTAGGCTACGAAAATAAAAATATTTTGTATACAATAAAGCACTTTAAACGGTTTAAAACGAGATTCGACACGAGTTTCGATCTGTTAAAAGTGTTTTATTTAAAGTGTACTGCTCGCGTAAACTACATTTCCAATATCGATAAAGCCTTTATATTTGTTATTAGGCTAATAAATATGAAATCGTTTCAAAAAGTGCGAATCCGTACGATGTTTTAGTTTTTGCAGGCATCGGTTTAATTTTCACACGCTTTTATTAATATGAAAAACATTTTTCATTTACAATTTCACACTGCAGTTGCGTGAATGAATGAATGTACATATAAAATACGAGAAAATATAAACATATTTTAAAAGAGCGGCTTGATAAGTTTTCTTTGTTTCAGCGTCGGGAAATTATTATTATAATATAGGTGGGTAAACGAAGAACAAATATAATAGTACAATATTTTTGAGGTCGAGAACTAGATTACTAATTAGTTCAGATTAAACAACTTTGACCGCCTCTGTAGGTAGTTTAAAAGTCTTTCGTTCGAACGACAAAGAAACGATAGATTAAATACTGTGTGTAGTTTACGCGAGTAGTACACATTTAAAGAAAACAGTTGAACTGTTTAAAACGCTAAATGTTTTAGTTAATCTTGTTTGAAAATTATTTTTAACTACGGCCCGACGTTTCGGATGCTTTGCAGCAGCCGTGGTCACGGGGAGACGTCGAAACGTCGTGAGCATGGACAAGTATGGGCGACAGCTATAATTTATAAAGGGGGGGAGAATGTTTCTAAGAATAAATAATAAATGCTCAATATAACAATACCAATTGGACAAAGTCGCGACCACAGCTAATATTATTATAAAGAAAAATTGTATTGTACTAAAAGTTCATATCGTACGCCGTCGTGAAGACTTATTATTCGTAATTGTAATTTCAATTCACGAAAGAAATGCGAAAATCCTTTTGTAGCCTCCATTTATTACGTATATTCACTGGCAGCGTAAAACAAATGAATCTACGTCTAAAATCTAAATTAAAGCGGAGGGGTCGTAAACCCAAACGTCTGGGTTCTCAACCTTTTCGGGTTCACCTTTATAACCCTTGTTACTTTGGTGGTTACAGAATATCACACCCGGCTAATTTACGTCATAACTTGACGTTTACTTAATTTTATTTAAGTTTAAAAGGCTTACTTTTAAAAATAAATAAATATTTAGTATATTACAATGTACAATATCCAAAGCAAAAAAGACGACGACGCATCTTATTGAGATATCTATGGCTGAGGTGTTTCACTTTCGAACAAGTGCTTTCAACGTGTAAGTATGGTTCGCTGTCGACCTATTATGGCTTTGGATAGCCGTAAATCTACGGACAGCCATTAGATATTGCTGCCACCAATTTAATAATTGACAAAAATATTTAATTTGTTAGAAACATATTGGACTACGTAGGGATCCCATGACCCAATGTTTGTCTGTCTTCTCTATCATAAAAAAGCCATGCGTTCTCTATAACCCTAATGTCTGTTAGGCAATATCGTTGTGCTGTAAACTTCTTATATATGCAATGACTTATATTATTTAGTTCTTTGTGTATAATTGTACTCAGTGATTATTAATAAGTCAAAGCAATATTTATATAATATAGCCCTGAACAAGCCCAAATATGGTGTGCGATGTAGTTGTGCTATGGAGTATATAATGCTATATGAGGCTGCTAGAGGCAGAGTGGCCTAATACAAAGTAATTTTCAATAAGGAGGAAAATAAAAATGCGCAATTATCTTGGCGAAAATGAGTTTGTACTATTATTTGTGTTAAAAATTTTTAGTATATTAACATTTTTAGATTATGAAAATCCAAATAAGCAGTTAGGCTACTCTGGCTCTGGCGGCCGCATATTATAGCATTGTCTGAAAAGAGCCAAAGTACTTAGGTACGTGCGTCCAGTTAGCCCCTTCGAGCACGACCGTCATTAAGCCGCTGTTCAATTTGCACGAGGGTCTCCTTTTAAACAAGCACTTCTTGCACCTTTTCCTCTCTCGTCAAAGAAAATGGAGAATTATCAACGCTTTAGAATTTAAAATGATTCTTTTCAGCATTCGGGCGGAAGGGCCCGCGTTATCAGTAACGGCGAACGTAACGGGTGGTGTTTTTTCTATTATTGTAATGTAAACTAGAGAATTATTTAAATGAAAATACTTGTATGGTTTAAAACGTGAAAAACATGATTTAACTTATTTAAAATGTATCTTAGTACATACAGGAGTAGTCAATGTTTTAGACAAACTTATCTAGAAAATTTATAATTTAAATACAGCCAAACAGGGTCAGCAAGTCCTGGGTTCGGATACCAAAGAAACAGTAGATTGATTCGGTCAGATAGAGCACAGAAGTCCGATCAACTACCATTGAAACGGACACAGAATTGTGTTCGTCCCAAGCCCCACGGTGTAATGGGATTTGACAACAAAAAACGTAATTTTAAAATGGAATAGACAAACATACGGGGCTGTACCAGTACCTTTATTGGTAGTGATTCTACGCCGTGTATTTTTTTAATATTATATGGTTAAACAAAACACTTTAACAGTTTATAACGGGCTATATATATATATACAGTTAAACTTACTTCTCTCCCCGTGACCACGACTGCTGCAAAGCATCCGAAACACCGGGCCGTAGTCAAAACAATTTTCAAATACGTTTAACTAATATATATCGCGTTTTAAACCGTTAAAGTGTTGTATTTAAATGTGTACTACTCGCGTAAACTACAGACATTGTGCGGTTTTAAAGTTGTAACAAAAGCTTCATAAATTGAATACCGGATTCAATATAGCTGAAGCATTTCAAGGTTAATACAGAATGGTTGAGTGTGAATTCAAGTCGTGAATGAAATGAATGATGAAATGGGACATTGTATATTCATGGTTCCCGGAGTGAGGCTATGTTTTAAGTGATATGTAATGAGGAACGCTTTGTTGATACATACTGAAAGCTTAAGTTTAAGCTAAGTAAAGCATAAGTTATAATTGTTAATATAATTATATGATAACATTAAAACGCGGATTTTAATATTGAGTTTGAGCTCCATTTCAATTAAATAACTAATAAAAAGTGCTCTTTAAAACAGTTATTTTTTGTTATAAACCGAATGAATAATGTATTATGTCGCAGTTGTCATAATTTTAACAAAGGAAGAAATGCTTCTTCACTTAGAATCATAATTTGGTCTTGAAAGGTGTAAAATATAGCCTCCATTCACAGCCGTGCTATATATCACTTAGAACAAGGAAAATCCCGGGTGTGTAATAATTCAGAAGGGCCTCCTAACACCTACTTCCACAATTTGAGGATCAAACTCAAAGCGCCAATAATCACTTCTTCAACCAAAAACTACACTTAAGGGATCTTCCGAGCTTTCAAATATTTAAGGACAAAACCTTCGCTTACTTAAGTGGCGTTGGTTGAAGTCGATGCTTTTGGTAAATTCATGTAATACCACCGTTAAACGCCCTTTAGAACTTGTGATTTTTTTACTT